TGCTAAAAAAGGCTCTCTCACATTTGCCAGTTTCTGATGGTAAAAAGACTTGCATTTCCTTGCTGATTTTGGGTGCTCTAACACTAGGCACAGTGAACATGTCATTTCCAAGTGCCCAAAAGAAGTTGGCTGCCAATTTTACCTGCAGAAGAGCTCACGGGATGATTGCCAGTTTAGCACCCCTGAAGCCACACCTGCTTCTCAACCAATGACAAAGTGCCTCCAGCCTTCCAGCATGTGTTGATTCCTATTCACCTCTGTGCTTTCAAACTTGAGAAGACTGCTCACATCATGCTTACCTATGGGCAATAGCACTGTCAACAACCAGGGTGAACAGAGTGGGTGAAAACAGCAACGTGTTATTCCCCACTTTCCCTCAGTTCTTTACAGAAGATGAGCAACAGTTTAGAGCAAATAAACCAATTTAAAAATAATTCAACTTTTCCAGAAAATATGACGAGTTACTCTGACTACAGAAGCTCTTCGAAAATACTTATGATACACATCCTTGATTCTATCTACACAGGCCTTAGATAGATGAAAGAAAGTAAGACTATTCCAATTCTTTGTGTGTGCCTCTAAAATAAAGTTACAGGAAGCACTCTGAATGCAGGATTTTTCTCACACAAATCAACTAAAATCAGATGGTTAACATTCCTCCCTTGTGAAAAGCTACAGTCTTTCCATACGAAATTCATCCTTTCTTCTGCCTTGCAGCTTCCTAAACTGTTCACATCATTGGAACAGCTTAGAGAAGAAGGCAAGCACACCCACAGACACATGAAAAATTATGTAGGTAAATGGCCCCCAGGCACAGTCCTATTGTCTGAAAGATATGTCAAGGAAGATGAGTGTACTAGCACGTAGCCATTTAGTTACTTGGAGTAGCCTTCTACCATGAACTGTTACATCTGTCCTTAGATCAGGGTACAACATATACAACTGAAAATATTTAAAACACAAGAAAGAATGGAAACAATTTAAAGTATTACACCAATATGGCCATATCATAATACAACAGTGCTACATTACACCACATAATAATAGTCAAAAATACGTTGGGATCTCATATGCACAAAGAGGAATCACATAAATTGCCAGAGCTTATTGTGTCTATTTCACAACATGCTTAGGCTGGGCTGGGCATGCAGTTTTGTCTGTGACCAGCATACACCCAGCCTCTCATCGGTTACCTATGGAAACCTACCTGACTCCTCTTGCACACATGTAAAATCCCGACAAGATTTTGGTCATTATGTTTTAGTTTGTGGGTGCTTAGTTTGTAGCAAGAGGGAGAATCTAATCATTCTTAAACTCCTGCTGAGAACGAGTTTATTTGCTCAAGAAGTCTATATAAATTTAAAAATAGCCTCCCGTGCTTTCCTGCATACCTGGATTATGTCCTTCATAGCTACAATGTTGCTAGGCTTCACTTTCCTCCTCGCTCCCTCTCTCTCTTTCTTCCATTTACATAACAATGCCATAGCATGGACAAGACTGAACTAGGAAGATCTTGGATATCAGATATACCATCCAAGTATAATTCCAGATCCAATCTGCAACAAAGTTTTGATGAGCAGCATGTCAGAATCTTTTACTGTCCTCCACCCCATGAAAAAAAATGATGTTTTCTGTCCAAGAACTGAGAAGTTACTGGTGCCTCTGCAGCCCTAAGCCAGTGGTGACAAAACTGAACATTACGCCAGTTCCCCCAGAAGCTGAGAAATGTTGATTACCACAACATCCACTTCTGGGGGTGGGGTGGGGGGATAATGCACTGAAATGACTGAAAATGGCATAGCTTTTTGAAGAACTGCTGCTTTGAAAATATCATCTTAGGTAGAACAGCACTCATATACTTTTCAGGCTACAACAATTCAGTGTTCAATTCTATATGTTGTCGCTTTTTAATCATTCATCTATTTAGTACACTCACTGCAGAGGTCCTTAGAAACCACAAAGGATAGTCTGCTGCCCCGAGAAGCTTACAATCTGTATAGTTTAATACAGCAGCAGCTCAAAGAGAAGGAAAATGTATTTCTCTACTATCTGACCCTTGTGAAAGAGTCTTGTTCTGATGAGCCAGATTCTACAGTTGCTTTTCAATCTCACTAAGAAATGTTTAATCACTGAGATAAAACAAATGAATAAACCGCTATTACATACAAATTTTAACTGCTGTACGAGGTCAACATGAACACCAAACACTAAAACACATGGTTTAATAGTTGCAAGGCATGCTTATCTCATGCTCAAACAGCATTAAGAAGCACAACATTCCTCTTAATGCCATATCTTCCACTTAGAAGTTATGAACTCAACAGTACAATTAAAAGCCTAAAGTTTGTAAAGCAGTGTTTTAAAAAATGTAGATTCTGGTCATAATAGTGGAGAAAAGATCTTGCTGTATTATCAGTAGTATATGCCCAAGGTGAACCTTGCTCACCATTCCATTACCTAGTAAAATACTAGAAAAAACAATATAGTGAGAAAATACATAGCTCATTTTCAAGATGAAAGTATTTTGGTTCTAGTTATCCCTCCCACTTTAAAACATGCTGGAATCAATCAGCCCAAGAGTAAGAAATATTTACAGTTCAGAATACTGGAAGTGAGTTAATCAAACTTAAACAGTAATTTGAAATGTAGTTCAAAGCAATCTTTCTGTACAGTATTTTAAAAGTAGCTGTCAATTCTACGTCATTTCAATTACTCTTTCCTTCTCATCACGCAGCCTTAGAAGGGTTACTAGCACACTGGTCCAATAACGGAAACAGTTTGTAAGTTTGCAAAATTAGGTCTACCATTGTTCATAAATATCTGATCAGAAGAAATGTTCTGTCCCAGAAATTCATGCATCTCAGGAGTCTAAGGAACATTATGGTACAAATTACCCCTCCACCCCAACCCTCATGAGCTGAAAATAAGAACACTGCAGTTGTAAGAAACAGGAAGTGCATATAAGGAGCATTTTATAGCATTTTGTTATGGACTATTGATCCTGAAGTAACTGGGATCCGCAGACGAACGTAGCTGTAGCTCATGAAAGAGGGATTGGCACTACTTTCATTCATTTTGTCTGATTTCCTTGTGTTTAGGAGAACAAATGAGAAAAGTGGGAAAGCAGAAATGGGAGTAGTCAAAGAGGTGAGGGAGCTGAAGCGAAGAACAAAAATAAACAGAAATGAGGAAAGGCACAACTTTTTCCCCCATGCAGCAGGAGGGTGATATGTGGGTCTGGAGAAATTGCCCTATTATATGAAAGTTCATGTTTTTTCTTCATACAGCTGCTCAGCTATTTCCTACTTTTTTCTTACATGAACTTTCGAACTATAAGCTTCTTGCGATCTATGCTCTAGAACTCTGCTAAACCCCCACATACTCTGATGATAGGATGCCCAACCTATAGAACAGCTGTGTTGGTTAGCAATGCTGCACAAGTGATGAAAGACCCATTAAATCCTTCCATGCGTATACACAGTATTCAGGCCATCCAGTTCCTCATACAATTTTGGGGGGGGGGGGAATTAGAGGACAGGCTCTCTTGAATCCAGCACTGCTGTGTTATTTTTTTTTCTTTTCTTGAAGAAGAAAAAGAAAGAAAATGACAGACAGACAGACAGACAGACAGAAAGAAAGAAATTAAAAGAAAGAAAAAGAAAGAAAATGACAGACAGACAGACAGACAGACAGAAAGAAAGAAATTAAAAGAAAGAAAAAGAAAGAAAATGACAGACAGACAGACAGACAGACAGAAAGAAAGAAAGAAAGAAAGAAAGAAAGAAAGAAAGAAAGAAAGAAAGAAAGAAAGAAAGAAAGAAAGAAAGAAAGAAAGAAAGAAAGAAAGAAAGAAAGAAAGAAAGGTGAGTTGTCCAGCAGCACTTCTGCCTCTTTAACAAACTAGAAGCAGAGTCCTGGGATTAATAATAGGCGACAGAGGAAACTTTGAGAAGAAAAGCAAAAACTCCCTGAGAAATCTCACCAAGCCCCCTTCCCTCCTCTTCGGCTGATCGGAAATAACAGATTACATCTTAAAAGCCTGAAGTCACCAAACACAGACTTTATATACTCAACAGAAGACGGAGGGAGCCGAGTGTGTGCAAGCGATAAACCCTTGCGAGGCGGGAAGGCATATCTGTTGGAGAGATCCTGAACTCTCTCTCGCCGGCCGTGGCCAGAAAGGATTATTATTTCCCAAGGGAAAGGCTCCCCTTCGGCCGCCGCTGTAGACACACGCCTCAGAGTTCAGACACAATCACAGAAGCAACAGCCCCGAAAACAATCACAGCCACCCGCCCGGAAACCAAAGAAGAGTGACGGCGGGGTGGGCGACGCTCACACCGAGACACACAAACAAATCGCCGCGATCTCACACCGAGCCGCTCCCCCGCTCGTCACGGCCTCTACGTGGGTCTTCCCACGAGCCGATCCTGACGTGCGCTCCTGCCCGAGGCAGGTCAGTATTCAAGTTGCGCTCCCCCGCTCCCTCTCCCCACCTCCGGGCCCGGCGCTGTCAAAAGGCGCGGGGGCAGGAAAAGTTGCTGAACAGCAAAACAAGATGCAGCAATGCCTGCCTCCCTTCTCCGGGAAGGGGCGGGCGAGGCGGGCGAAGGGGGAAGCAGGTGCCCCGCAGGCGCCCCCGCCAGCCCCCCGCGTGGTCCACAGGCGAGGGCGGGGAGAAGGGCATACAATGGGCTGCCTGCGGAAAGTGACCGAAGTGGCTGGCAGGCAAGCCAGCAGAGAACCGGGGCTACCCGTCACTGGGCTGACGAGGCAGGGGGTAAGAGGAGGAAGACCAGCCCGGCGAGCCCGGCCAGAGTCTGGGAAAGGCAGGCGGGCTGGCCCACGGAGCTGAAAGGAAGGAAGGAAGGAAGGAGCAGCCGCCCGCCCATGTTATGGTGCCCGCGCGCTGAAACAACTTGCCCTCCCTTCCCTCAGCCGCGGTTATGGCGTGGAGGAAGCCCAGTCTCGTCCTCGTGCCCCGTTCTCGGGCGACTCACCTTCGCCACGCCACCTCCGGCTGCAGGGAGCCTTCCGACGACCACCCCAAGGTTTCTCCCCCCCGGACTCGACTAGGCGGCCGTAGCTGCCCGCCTGACGCCGAGCGAAGGAAGCGGTGCTGGGCCCGCCCCCGGAGCCAGCCGGGCCCGCCCCGAGCCCTCCCACCGCCAGCTCGGAGCTCCGTCTCCAGAAAACCCAAATACGGGGAGGGAGGCGGCGGCGGCGGGCTGTGAGGGAGGCTGCTTGGCGGGCTGCGAGGAAGCTTTTGTTTGGCTTCTCCGCGCCAGTCCTGGCAGCCTGACAGAAGGCTCCGGTCCCGACAGGAAACGCCAAGAAAAGCTCTGGAAAGGCCGCTTTTCTTTCGCCCCCTCGCGGCTGGCACAACAGGGCAGTACGGGAAGCTGCCCTCCCCACCCCACGGTGGCCTGCACCAGCAGGAGTGTCACGGTTCCCAAAGATTGCATGAAGTGGCTCATGGACGCGCCGCCCCCCCCACCTCGAAATTCTGAGGTGAGGCGCTCGTTTCCCCTCACCTCAGAACCACTCAGTCCAGGAAAATAAAAAAGAATTCTGCACTCGTGCAAGGGCTCTTTTCAAAAATGACAGTATCCCCACACGGAATAAAAAAGGGTAACGTGTGACCTAGGTGTACAGAGCCCAGTGGCAAGAATATGGGTATTTTGGGTAGCATGCCTTAAGAAGCCACAGCAGATTGTGGATTTCAGTTTCATGGGCAAATATGTACACGCGTCGCACACCTGACGTGACTGGTAGTCGGTTGCAACTCGAACTCCTTGAAATAAGGATTTTTTTTTTTAACGCATAGGAATTCAGCAGGTTCCGAGTAGCCTTACTGGGAGGGAGAGACTCAAAACCAGCACTTCTTCACCCTGCAACGTGAAACTTGGCGTTTGCTTGCACAATGGACACTGATAAGCCACCAAAGTGAGCGGTTTCAAAAAGAGCGGCTTGCAAGTTCATGAAGGGTGGCTTGTCAGTGGCTGACAGGAGATCAAGTTGGCTAGCCTCTTGGTTGCCCACTGGGGAAAGAAAATGCAGTACAAGTCTTTGGTCTGATCCAACACGGTTCCTATGTTCTTATAATGTGGCCCTAATGACACAAGGCAGATAAATACTTACATATAACGTTAGTAGTGTGGGGAGGGGATACAAATTGCAGCAGGGACGTGATCATTGGTTTACAGAATAATGGTTTTCTTTTCTGTTCTTTCTGTGGGTTCCATCTTTCCTTGCTTTTGTTGTTGTTTAATCGTTTAGTCGTGTCCGACTCTTCGTGACCCCATGGACCAGAGCATGCCAGGCTCTCCTATCTTCCACTGCCTCCCGGAGTTGGGTCAAATTCATGTCGGTAGCTTCGATGACACTGTCCAGCCATCTCATCCTCTGTCGTCCCCTTCTCCTCTTGCCTGCACACTTTCCTAACAACAGAGTCTTTTCCAGGGGGTCTTCTCCTTCTTTCCTTGTTAGACCTCCCCCAAATCCAGACTCTTGGGCAGAGACAGTTCTGTTATTAACTCAACTTTTTAAAATTAACTTCAACAGGCAACATTCCAATAACAACTTCATAAGGTCCCACATCCACCTCACCATTTAACACTCTGACAGTCATTATCAACCCTTCCCCATGGCTCCCTTAGAGTTGGGGTATTTCCCCAGCATCATCTTGCTAGTAGGAGGGTGATAAGAGGTATGGGATCCCATACACTTGCTGCCATAGGGATGGCATGCCCAAACTTCCCCAAGTACTCTCTTTTTCGTCTAAACCTGCATCTCATCTCTCTTCTTCTGCTGAGGAGGCCATCCCTGTGCTAACTCCCTCCCAGAGTATAGTACTGTCATCCTCTCTCTCTTTCTAGATGCCTCCTCTTGCATCTTTCCCTTTCCATACTACAGAGGTTTAGGGGAGGTTTTTGTCCATAACTTCTCTACTTCTTCATGGGGTACCTTCAGCTTTACAAGTGCCCCAGTCCGGGCATACTCTTCTCTATCCACCCTTTGGGTAGCTTTGCCAAGGTGAACTTCTCTGTTACTTCTCTCTCTTTCTCTCTCCTTAGAGTTATCTTTTCTACCTCTCTGCTACTGCCATCTCATTTCCTCTTCTCTCTTACTTTTATCTCTTCTATCTTCTACCTTTTCTCCTTTCTACCTAGTTCTGTTAAATGCAAAGTTGCTTTTAGTATGTCATTTGGCCCTTAAAACAAAGACAATGGCTAGAATCCTACTCATGTTTGCATAAGGTTTGTGAAACTTGCAGTGGCTAATTATGGCTAATTAACAAAGTATTGGGGCATGATTTTGTTGCATCAATCAACCCTGCCCATGTGCTTTGGCTGCACAGTTGAAATGCATTCAGCACCTCATTAATAAGCAGTGATTATGCAAGAAATTATGTACACATTATGTGAACACTCAGGATTGCAGTCAATCCCAGTCTAGACAACCTATCATTTCATAAATAATCATCTACAGACAGAAAATAATCTAAGTTACAAATTATTATCAAGGACATATTTTCTACTAAAGAGTGCTAAGTTGACTTCTGTAGTTTTTGGAAGGGTGACTAAAAGCACCATTGCAAATTTGCCATTTTTGCAATTGCAAACCTTTAGCTAGCTATAAATGTTCCTCTAAGCAGTGACTAGACATCTACCAGTGAGGCCTGTGGGTTTCAACTGCAAAAATTGATGATGCATGTGTCTCAAAATGGTTCACATAAGCAGAGGCAAGCTGTGTTAATCACTTTTGTGGTGATTACTCAGGACTTCATATTTAATTCCTGTACTAGAGCATATGCACCTGCAAGTGGGGAAACAAAAAGTTTGGGCAAATACTATTATACTTCATTTCATTTCCCTTTGTGCACAGAAATGAAGTATAACTGGGTGAAAGAATTAAATCTCAAAGAGTCAGGAATAATGCCAGCAGATTGCTGTAGCAAAGAAAATGACAGAACTGAATCTATTAGAATAAGGGAGGATCCAAAGCAAATAGGTGCCTGATTATCTAAGCAGGATATGAACCCTAGAGAAGCGACAGCCGAAGTCTAATCCTCCAGAAATTCCTGGACAGTAACTCCCAGCATTCTTTATTTTTGGCCACACTGGTTAAGATCATAGAAGGTGCTGTCCTAGAGAGCTTCACTTTGACCACCTCTTCCTTAAACCTAGGTCATGCAAAAAAGTAAATCTGGTTCTTCAAGTTGATAACCAGCAAAGCGTGCTGCTTATATATAACCAGCTGATTTGTAGTAGATCAATAACACTTTCTTCCTTCTAATGGCACACTAAAATGGGCTACAAGAAGTATTTTCCTGTCCCAAATTAGGCTTTTGTATGTGAAAGGGTTAACTTGGGAGCTTCAGTTCTCCTGTTGAAAGTAAATTGCTGGGGTGTGCATAGGGGCAGAGGCCCCTTAACTCTGTAGCTACCTTCTTGAACCACTGTTTTGCATCTGATGCCAATCTGCTTTAGAACAGATTCCACAAGTGTGAAGTCTGGCTAGAGCTGTAGTTTAGAATATCCATAGTCAAAAGGAACTTTGGGCATTGAGATGAGGGTGTAGCTTTATGTAGTTCTGCATAAAATTTCAGATACCTCTTCTTGCAAGCAATGCACTGAAGACAAAAGTGCTTAAGAGTAATCTTTTCTTTTGTTACTGTATGGATTCCATCATCTTTGAGATATTAGAGAGGGGGCTGCTATTTTGGGTAGTATACTTGGAAGTTGCAGGCTCAATATTTTAGGGGGCTAGGGGCATTCTCTGTTGGGACAGCCTTGAAATAAACAAAGCCTTGGTTGGTGCATTCATCTCCAGGCAAGATTATTTTTGTTGAACTGTGCAACTGCACAGTGCCTCCAGGAAGGGGATGGACTCCACCAGAGGCAAGGCAAGAACATTGCTCTCAGTGGAAAAGCTCTTTGGCAGGCAAGAACATCAATCACCAGCAGAAGATTTGTTGTGACAACATGAAGGGAAGAGGATCTCAGGCTGCACTAGATGTTAGCTCTGTTGTCATGCCCTTGGAATAAAATTAACTGTGTGTTTTTAAAGCTTTCTTTTTGTTTTTAATATTTAACAAGGGGGAAAAATAGCTTTGCTTTTTTATTGACAAGCAACCAGTAAGACAGCGCCTGCTTTGCCACTCAGTGAAGAGAGTGTGACATGCGGCACAAGTGCAGTTTGAAGGGCTGGGGAGGAACAACTCAAAATCTCCCCCAATAATAGGGTTTTCTTAATGGATTTAAAAGTAATAACAGCATCTAGACAGCTACCTTGCAAACTGATAAGTACTTGCTCAGGAATGTAACATGAACAAGTGCTTACTGATATGAAACCTAATTTATGGCATGTTTTATGGTATCTGGGAGTGTTCCAAGGGTCATAAAATAATTTGGATTTCCCCTCTAAAAGAAAAGTCAGACCCTGAAAAGGGAAATCCAGCCTCACAATCCCTCTTATCGGTGTTCAAACTTCCATTCTCTTTTGCCTCTTGAGCATTAAAGATAAAAATAGGGCATTTTGTTGGCACGGAGGTACAGATCTAAAGCCCATTCTCTTGACGTGTTCCCACAGTTAAAGGAAACGTGTAAGCTGCTGTGTGTGTGTGTGTAATTTTCTTTCGATTGGCTGAAAAAGTAGGTAAAATATAAAAGTATATGGGGACACACACTAGGGAAGGGAGGAATGCTGCTGTCTCCTCTCTTCTGACCTGACAATGTGAACCCAGCAAGTCTTTACATAATACAGTTGTTCACTTTCAGATCTCCCAGCTATTCACCGAAACAGCTGAGGATGGGTATTAGGATAAAATGTTCTGACATTTTTGGAATTTTGGTTTTGTAAAGACTGAGCCTCCTTCTCTGTTAAGTAATAGAAATACAGAAGAATTAGTAGGTGGGTCACGGGGGTGGGGGGCAGGCGGGCGGTAATTCATAAGAGATGCCAGGATTCGTTATCTATCTGGAAACAACTTGCTCTGTTATAGAACATTTATGATTTTACTTGCAGGTGACTGTTAGGGTTACTCAGTTGTCAAAAGGAGAAGCCCTCAGCTATGCAATCCCTTCTAGCTTTCTCCACATGATGAGAAGATACATACTCCCACACAGGCTTTTGATATGGGTTGTCATATCCATTATGGAAGTGTCT